GTAACTATAATGTTTTTAGACTTAAGGCTTATTACTTATTTATGTTAAAAAATTTTTTTTTTTTGAAATTGAATAATAAAGAATCTAATCTATTAAATAATCTATACATTCATTTGTTATATATCTAGGAGCATCTAAGATTAATCTAAGGGTTTTTGATTGAAAACGTTGAATAATCTCAATATTTGAAGATGCAGCAGTTCCCCAGAGTTCAATGCCATATGTCCAGATTGGTTTGAGTATCGCTTTGTAGATAAGAAGTTTATTTTCCACGGAAAGCTTTGAACTTTTGTTTAGTATCCAGTAGAGCTCCCGCATTCTGATGCCAAGTGCTTTTCTTTTGGTAAAAATATGGTGCTTCCAAGTTAGTTTTGTGTCAAAGTGTATTCCTAAATATTTCACTTGGGTAGATTGAGGGATTAAGATATCGTTAAGTCGTACCGGAGGGCAATTTTTCCTTCTCATTGTAAAGGTTATTTGTGAAGACTTAGTCTCATTTGCTTTTATTCTCCAGGTTTTAAGCCACTGGGAAATGTTATCTAGCGCTCGCTGGAGTTTGTTTGATGCTAACTGGTGATTATCGTCCGTAGCAATTACCACAGTATCATCGGCAAAAGTTCCAATCTCAGTACCAACGGTGGTAGGCAAGTCGTTAGTGAAGAGTAAGTATAACACTGGTCCCAAGACACTGCCTTGTGGCACTCCAGCCTGAATTGGCTGCAAAGTTGACATTTCATCCCCCTGTTTTACAAAGAAATATCGTGATTCGATGTAAGATTTTAAGAAAATATAGTAATTAATTGGGAGCATCTTTTTAAGCTTAAACAATAGGCCGTTATGCCAAACTTTATCAAATGCCCGGGATATGTCCAGAAATGCTGCTGTGCAGTACTTCTTTTTGTCAAATGCTGTATGTATGACATTAACCACTCTGTGTACTTGCTCTATTGTACTGTGTTTTTTTCTAAAACCAAATTGATATTCCGGAATTAGTCTCCTTCTATTGACAATGGGCATTAATCTGGTAAGAAATAAATTTTCCAACAACTTTGACATAACCGGTAGAAGACTAATTGGTCTATATGACTTAACATCTTTTGCCGTTTTCCCAGGTTTGAGTATCATGGTGATTTGAGCCACCTTGAATTGAGGAGGGATAAAGCCTTTTGTGACAATAGAATTAAAAATGTTTCGCAGCAGTACTATTGCTTCATCCGGTAACTCCTTTAATATTTTTGAAGTAATTAGGTCATAGCCGGGTGCTTTATTTATTTTTAGTTTCTTGATTTCAAATTTTATGTCGAAAATGGAGAATTTTTGTATTGGAAGGTCCAGTTGGTGCGTTTGCAGTAAAACCTCTCTAATCTCTTCAGATATACTATTTGGGGCTTCATTAATGTTTGGAACAAAAACTGAAGACAGATGGTCCTTAAATGCTTTGCATTTTTCTGTATCTGTTCGGGCCCATTGCCCAAGTTCGTTTTTTACTGGTGCATTGTGCGTTGTTGTCTGTTTCTTGATTGCTCGCCAGAGAGAGTAGTTGGTGGAAGTAGTTGCGTCTAGTCTTTGGAGATTTCTTTGTATTTCCAAATTTCTGGTTGTTTTCAGATGTTCTTTTAGATTTTTGATCAGCACATTAAAAAGTTTTTTATCTTTCGGAGATTTGGTTTGTTGCCAGCGCCTTCTGACTGCTCTTTTGGCTCTTATAAGTTCTTGAGTCGTACTACATAATGGTGTGGCGAATTGTTGCATGTTTGAAGGCGTGGATCTCCAGGCTGATTGTTGAATACTCCTTATAAGATGTTCAGTTGCAAGCGCAATTTCTTCGTCTGTTTTAAGCGCCGTTTTTTCATCAAGTAATGCCTTAAGTGTATGCCTAAAGGCATCCCAGTTGGTTAATTTGTTGTGCAGATAACATTTTTGAACTTTAAGTTGTATATTCGATTTTATCCGTAATAATACTGGCGAGTGATCTGATGAAAGATCAAAGCTAGATTTACAGAAAGTGTCGTTTTGTCGCACTCCTTTAGTAACACAAAAGTCTAACAAGTCTGGCATTTTTTTGGGATCCGTGGGCCAATAAGTTGGTCCCAGACGAGATAGTTGAAAGGTTTTCGCTTCTTATAGCCGCAAGCATCTGTCGTCCTTTGGGTGTTGAAAGCCGAGAGCCATTCAACGTGTTTAGCATTAAAATCTCCCCCCGCAATAAATCTGTTACCTAAGGTTCTAAAGAATTTTTTATATGTTGCCGTCTTAGTTGCGTGTTTTGGTGGACAGTATACTGATGTTATTGTGATTGAGCCACACCAATCTTTTACTGATATGCTGGTTGCTTGAATCTCTTCAGTGCGGTATTGTTGCATTTCAAAGTGTAATATATTTGTTTTAACTAAAATGCCACTTCCCCCATGAGCCGTTCCATCGGGATGCATAGTGTGGTAAAAGTCATAGCCTGGTACTTTAAAATAATGTTTTGAAGTAAAACGTGTTTCGGATATTAGCATGATGTCTACTTTTTGATCTTTTAAAAATTCTTGTAGCTCTAAACAATGTTTTGACAGCCCATTCGCATTCCAGAGCACTATATTTAATTCACTGTCGGACATAATTTAGTCGTCAGCGTGACAAGAACATTCATTAACGTAGTGATTTGTTCTAACATTTGCTTAACTACTATTAGAACTTCGCTCATGGTATCTGGAGATTTAGGAATAGTATGAGATTTAGGTGATTGTTCCACTAGCACACTAGCATAACTTCTTTTGGGATCCCTTGGGATAGAAACTTTGTCTTTTTCTTCGTCAGTTTCTTTGTTTGTAGTTGTTGTTGGTTTAGGTTTTAGTGTTGGAAATTTCGCAGTTTGTAGCTGCTTATAAATCGAACAGCCTTTATAATTTGCAGGATGGTTTCCTTCACATAATACGCATTTGACTTCAGTACTTCTTCCTTGGATTGGACATTGAGACGAAGAATGGTTTTTTGCACATTTGATGCACCTCGGATGTCTTCGACAATAACTTTTCGTGTGGCCATAGTCTTGGCAGTTACTACACTGAGGGATGTCTCGTTTAGGACGAGGAGGCTCAAACGTGACTCGACTATGCATCAAATTCTTTATGCTGTAGATCTCCTTGTTATTTTGTTGAGGCTCAAGTTCTACAATGAAGAGAGGAAGTGGTTTTTTCGATTCTCTGTGTTTCATATTGAACACGTTTAGAGCTTTATGGCCTATTTCCGCCAGAGCTGTTTTAATGTCCTCGGTATTGACAGACGAATGCATATTTCTCAAGATAGCTTTAAAATTTCGTTCATCTTTAGGCTTGTAGGTATAAAATTCGGTTTTTTTCGATTCGAGTTGCTTTACTATTGTAACATAAGACTCAGTTGTTTTTGCTTGGATTTTTACCTTTTCGTTGTTTAAAACTTTTAGCTCAAAATTGTTTTCTACTTGTGAGGACAAAAGATTTATGAGAGGATTTATGTTATTCACCCTATCTACGAATATTGGTGGAGGTTTGGGCTGCTTTTCGGCATGTTGTGTCACTTCTTCAACTTCTTCCTCTTCTGTTTCTAGTACTGAAAATCTATTTGCGGAACGGCTTGGATTGTCTAGCCAGTAACTATCTAATTTAGCTTGTTTTTTAGTTTGTTCAGCATTTTTTGAACGACGAATTTCAGGACTTGAACGAGTTCTTTTCTGACTTTCTTTTGGAAGATTAATTTTTTGTATTGAAGAGTTGCTTAATGAGTTTTCTCTTGAGTTTCCCTTCGATTGAGTATGTACTTTGAAAGTTTTTTGGCTGTTCTGCTCTTTGTGCACAGGTGTCGAGAACATAGCGCAATTTGATGTAGTAGGTATTTCGTTCAGTATATTGTTTGATATATTAGCGATTGAACTTACCGAAGTTGTTGGAAGTAAAGATAAGGCATGAGTAGACGAAACGGATATCTGAGTTGATGTAGAACTCAAGGTGTTAGTTATCGAGTTTGCAGTGCATACTGTGACGCTATTTGTAGTACATGTTGATGTTGAGCAGGAATGTGCTATTAGATTTGATGGGGAGAGTCCCACCGTGAGCGTATGAGGTGAGCTTATCAGTGGGGTACGGCATTGTTCACTCCAAGAGTGAGATATATTACCTAGTTTTTGGTTTAAACAAGTGTCGTAGTTTTTTTCAATTGAGTTTGAATTGTTTTCGGCCTGTAGCTGTTTTTGGCTTCGTGTTGCTAAGGGACTTCGTTGAACACTCATTATTTGAAATTGTGTTAGTTAATGTTTGGTTTTCGTTGATCTTATTTTGCTATGCAAAATTTATGCTACGTTGATCTTATTTCGCATAAATTAGCGTATCGCCCATGCAGCAGAACAAGTGATTTTTGAGTAGAAATTATTTTAATAAGATTAAATTATTTTTAAAAAAAAAAAAAAAGAATCGGTTAAATTAAAATGTTAATTAGTATAAAAATGTACCATATATCACATTTGATTTTGTTTAAGTTGTATTTTAAATGCAAATAAATATTCAAATATTAATATAAATAAATTTTTTATTATTTTAATAAAATAAATATTAAATATTAATATAAGTGTTCCAAATTTTTCACAAAATAACACGTATTAAATTTATGGATAATTAATTTTATCCAAAATTCGTTTTTGCGTTTTGCAACACTTATTTTAGTTTATTATTTTAAGTTTAAAAGCTTTTATTTGCTGTCTCTATCAGCTTTTATGTGTTTGTGTATAGAAAAACCAGACACTAGTGTAACTATCTGTCTCTGTCAGATTTGTTTAATTTAAATTAAATTTACGTTCCAAAATAAGGCGAATTATTACAAGAGCGCCAAAATCTTTATGCTATCACAATATAAATACGAACAATTGATTTGAACATTTATTCACTATTTCAATAGTTTTTGCATATATACTGCGATTCAGCACTCAATAACTTCGTTTATCTTGAACTTTGTATGTAGTTATCGCGCTAAACACCCGCTAACTAGTAAAACTTTGCAAGAGCACTATAAAACACGTCCGTACGTGGAGAAGACTGTATATTTACTGAATCTATGTTAGACGACTGAATGTAGTTACAAGTGAGTGCCCGGACAGTAGGCGTATTTTTATATTGTCCTCCGATGATCCACCCTAATTCGGTATTTAATAAACATGGAAGGCTGGTGCCTAACGAAATTTTCCCATCTAATATTAATTCAAAAAATCCCTGCGTACTTATTAATAAGTCAATGTGTTGTGGTTTAAAAAATAATGGATCAGCTAAAACAAGGCCTTCAGGAAAATTCCACGATGTTGTGTCTATCAACTGCTCTGGATGGTTCAATGAGATACGTTTAGTGACAGCGAATTGCGATGACCATTCAAATTTTGATATTCGAGATTTTATAGTTGCAGTTATTGAATGCCGAATTTGTGTTCTAACATCACCAATGCCTGACACTTCCTGGTTTATTCGCTCAAATGGTAATTGAAGTTGCTTTGCCATTTTTTCAGTGATAAAACTTATCTCTGAACAAGAGTCCAGTAATGCTCGTATAGGTTGGTATAAACCGTATTTATCCTTAATAAGTACAACAGCTGTGGGAATCAATGATCGTTGTTTAGTACGCGATACTAGAGAAATTGATGGAGATTGCGGAAAATTTAGTTGTCCAGGTGGACTGTCTGACAAATTTGGTCTCACATTTTGCTCGATGGGTTTGAATTTATGCAAACACGTATGATGCATACCATTGCATATTCGACAGCGAGCTGTGGATTGACAATTTTTAACGACGTGCCCTTTGCGTAGACAATTTAAGCAAACAGAAAGATCTTTTACGAATTTGAATTTGTCGTTAAAAGTCAGTTTTACAAACGATGGACATGATCCTAGGCTGTGGTCTCCTCCATTACACTTCATACAATTGATTTTGGTGTTAACAAATGTGGCCAATTTTCTGTTAAAAGAATTATTTTTGGTATCATTTACTTTATCATTATTGCATCTTTTCGAATTGCTTTCCAGAAATTGACATCTTCGACTGAAAAGTGCGTAGCAACTTTCCCAAGATGGCAATGACTCAAAATCTTGCTGAGAATCATAAAAAATTTTAGTTTCGTTATCCACTTTAGACAATACTAAATGAATAATTATGGCGTTCAGAATGTCTGCTTCCGAACCCAACGATAGAAGTGAACCGAATAAAGCAGACACTGTATCTACAATATGCCTGAGTGTGATTGAGTCGCCCTTCGTCATATCTTTAATAAAAAAAAGGGAATTAATATGTTCCATAAAAATTAATACCTTTTTGTCATATCTCAATTGTAATTGCGTTAGAGCCTTTGTATAATTTTCCTCGGTTATTTAAAATGGTTGTACTACGCTCAACGCCGCACCCGAAAGACAACTTAAAAGATAATTAAATTTATCAATTGTTGTTATCGACGGGTCGTTGTGAATTAAATTTGTAAACGCAGAGAAAAAACGTTTATATTCGCTGTATTTACCATCAAATCTTGGCAATTTCAATGCTGGTAAACGACTATGATGTGAGGAGTTGTTTAAAATCGACGAATTCAATACACTTGATTCATGTATCGGCCTTATTTTTTGATTGTTGATTGTGGCCACAATAAGTGATTTAATGCTGACATATATGTCCTCTAATTTGCTACGCCTATCATCATCCGGACATGCTCGTTCAATTTTACTTTGTATTTGACAAACTTCTGTAAAATACGATTCCAAAATTTGCAGTCGACATTCTAAAATGTTAACATCCACAAACGCTAATTCCTTCTCTACCTTCGCCTTTATGCTTAGCATGTTTCGTTCCACTGATGTTCGCTCTTGTTTTAGTGAAGAGAGTTGCTCAGTTACTGAGTCATTTCTTCGACAAGTCATTTTTGCAAGTAAAA